AGGTTTTGGGGGGGGCCCGGGGGGGGTTTTTGGGGGGGGGTCTCACCACGTAGAGCCCGTAGAGGTTGTGCAGCTCGCGGTGCTCCCAGCCCCCGAAGTGCCCAAGGTTTAGGGGGGTCTCTGAGGGGTTTGGGGGGCTCTGGGAGGTCGGGATTTTTTTGGGGTCCCTGTGAGGTTTTGGGGGTGTCCCTGGGGGGGTTTTTGGGGGGGGGTCTCACCACGTAGAGCCCGTAGAGGTTGTGCAGCTCGCGGTGCTCCCAGCCCCCGAAGTGCCCAAGGTTTAGGGGGGTCTCTGAGGGGTTTGGGGGGCTCTGGGAGGTCGGGATTTTTTTGGGGTCCCTGTGAGGTTTTGGGGGTGTCCCTGGGGTGGTTTTTGGGGGGGGTCTCACCACGTAGAGCCCGTAGAGGTGGAGCAGCTCGCGGTGCTCCCAGCCCCCCAAGTTCCCAAGGTTTAGGGGGGGTCTCTGAGGGGTTTGGGGGGCTCTGGGAGGTCGGGATTTTTTGGGGTCCCTGTGAGGTTTTGGGGGTGTCCCTGGAGGGGTTTTTGGGGGGGGTCTCACCACGTAGAGCCCGTAGAGGTTGTGCAGCTCGCGGTGCTCCCAGCCCCCGAAGTGCCGCGCGTCCTTGTGCATCGTCACCTCGGGGCCGCTGAACACCGACGGCTCGTTCATGTCGTTCCACGTGAACAGCGCCTCCGTGGAGCCCTGGGGGGACCCCAAATCAGCGGGGGGACCCCAAAAATATGGGGGGAGGGGTTTCTAAAACCCTCCCAGGGGATCCCCAAAAATCGGGGTGGAAAGGCAAAGTGGGGTCTCCAAAAACGCACCAAGGGAAAAGGGTGAGAGGGAGAAAGGGGTGGGAAGGGATTTGGGGGGGTTACCTAAAACTAGGGAGGGCTTGAGGCTCAGGAAAGCCCAAAAATCAGCAGGGAAACCCCAAAAATATGGGAAGGGTCTTAAAACCTCCAGGAGGTTCCCCAAAATCCCCCCCAAAAAGATGGGGTGGTCTCCAAGGGAAAAGATGCCCTAAGGGAAGAAGGTGAGAGGGGGAAAAGGGTGGGGAGGGGAATTTGGGGGGCGGTCCCAGGGTTCTGGGAATGCTTCAAGGGGCGTCCTGGGACTCTAGGGGGGTCTAACAGAAATTTGGGGGGGGGGTCTGACAGAGATTCTGGGGGTCCCCACCTCATACTGGTCGTAGGCAAACATGTTCGCCCACCACTCGCGCATCTCGGGGTTCGTGAAGTCGGGGTACGCCGAGGAGCCTGGGGGGGACACGGGGGGGCTTGTGACCCCTCTGGAGACCCCAAAGCCACCCCAAAGCCACCCCAAATCACCCCAAATTCCCTCCCAGCCCCATTGACTAGACCAACACCAGCCTTTGTACCCGTTGCCATCATCGATCATGACATGGAACTCCCCAAGCATCCCGAGACTCCCCAAAATCCCTTCAGGACCCCCAAAACCTCCCAAAAATCCCCTAAAAGCCCTCGAGGACCCCCCAGATCCCCCCCAGCCCCACTGACCAGGCCAGCACCAGCCCTCGTAGTCGTTGCCATCCTTGGTTTTGACGTAGAGGCCTCGTGCCCGCAGCTCCGTGTGCACCCGGTACCCCCCGTCCACCTTGATGTGAGGGTCCACGATGCTGACCATCTGTGGGGCAGTGTCCAGGGGTGAGTGACCACGGGGGAGTGACCACGGGGGGAGTGACCACAGGACAGTGTCCCGGGGGGGCAGTGGCCGAGGGAACGTGCCCAAATTCCCCAAATCCCACCCCGATCCCGGACACAAAACCACCCAGGGTAACCCCGAAGTGCCTTTGTGGGGTCCCCACTGTCACTGTTTGGGCAGGGGGACCCCAATTCCCATTTCCATTCCTGATCCTGATCCCAGTCCCAATGTCCAGCCCATTCCTGGTCCAACTCCAACCCCATTTTCCATTTCCTATCCCCCATCCTGCTCCTGACCCCATTCTCTATCCCATCCCCGTCCCAATCCATCCCAAACCCCATTCCCCACCCCAGTCCCATTCCTATTCCCAATCCCATTCCCAACTGACCCCAAACCCACATCAAATCCCAATTCCATTCCTGTTCCCTCTCCCAAACCCAATCCCACTCCCCTTCTCATCCCCATCCTGCATTTCTGGGCTGCCAGCTGCTCCAGGAGCTTTGGGAATTCTGCAGGATCCCATCCCAATCCCAATGCCACCCCATTCCCATCCCCACCCTGCGTTTCCGGGCCACCAGATGCTCCAGCATCCCCATGGATTTGGGAATTTTGTGGGATCCCATTCCCATTCCCAATCCCATTCCATTCCCAATTCCAATCCCGCTCCCATTTCCAATCCCAATCCCAATCCCAATCCTAACCCTGCTCCCACCCCAATCCCACTCCCATCCCCACCGTGCGTTTCTGGGCTGCCAGGTGCTCCAGCATCCCCTGAAGATTCGGGAATTTTGTGGGATCCCATTCCCATTCCCAATCCCACCCATTCCCATTCCCACTCTATTCCCATCCCCACCCTGCGTTTCCGGGCCGCCAGGTGCTCCAGCATCCCCTGAGGATTTCAGAATTTGGCAGGATCCCATTCCCATTTCCAATCCCAATCCCAATCCCAATCCCAATCCTATCCCCACCCTGCATTTCTGGGCCGCCAGGCGCTCCAGCATCCCCCGTGGATTCGGGAATTTTGTGGGATCCCATTCCCAATCCCACCCATTCCCATTCCCACTCTATTCCCATCCCCCCCCTGCGTTTCCGGGCCGCCAGGCGCTCCAGCATCCCCCGTGGATTCGGGAATTTGGCGGGGTCCCAGGTGAAGTAGCGCTTGCCGTCGGCGTGCTCGATGTCCAGCCAGAGCACGTCCAGGGGCAGCTCGTGCTCCTCGAAGCCCCTCTCCACGGCCTCCACGTCCGCCTCGTCCTGGTAATTCCAGCGGCTCTGGTGGTAGCCCAGGGAGAACAGGGGGGGCAGAGCCTGCGTGCCTGGGCAAGGGGCAGAAACGGAGTGAAATCCCCCAAAACCACCCCAAAAACGGGGATGGGGCAGGGCCAGAGCAGAGAGATCCCTTAAAATAATCCTAAAAACGGGGTAGGGTGGAAACGGCCTGAAAATAACTCTAAAACTGGGAGTGGGTTGGAAATTCCCTGAAAATAACTCTAAAAAAGGGAAGAGAGGTGGAAAACTCCTAAAAATAACCCTAAAAAAGGGAATGGGGCAGAAATTCCTAGAAAATAACTCTAAAAAACAAAAACTGAACAAGATTAAAGCTGAGAAATCCCCCAAAATTCCCCCTGAAAACGGGAATGAGGCTGAAGGAGAAAAATTCGCAGCGTCCTCTACCAGTCAGGGCTGTACTGGTGTCCCTGTCACCACCCCAGTGTCCCCAGTGTCCCCAGTGTCCCATACCAGTCAATCTCCCATACTGGTGTCCCTGTCCCCACCCCAGTGTCCCCAGTGTCCCATACTGGTCAGTTCTGTACTGGTGTCTCTGCTGTTCTCAGTATCCCCGCTGTCCCCACTGTCCCCAGTGTCCCTCGACCCAGGAGCCCCAAAACCTCCCCCAAACCCCCCCAGACCCCCTGCCGGACCTTGCCGGCCGTGTTGGAGCCGATGTCCACCCAGGTCTCGGCGGCGTTGAGCCAGAAGAGGCCGAGGCTGAGGCGGGGCCGGTGGGCGAGCAGCAGCGGCACGGAGCCGTACAGAGCCATGGGCGTGAACACCTCGTACTGGAACACGTCCAGGTTGTACAGGCGGTACGGGTCACCCCCCCTGGGGACATGGGGACACTCAGGGACAGTGCCAGGGGGACAGGGATGGCTCCCCAGGGGTGTACAGGCAGCACAGGCACCCCCCATGGGGACATTCAGGGACAGTGCCAGGGGACAGGACATCACCCCAGGGGTGTACAGGTGGTACAGTCAACCCCCGTGGGGACATGGGGACACTCAGGGACAGTGTCAGGGGGTCAGGGACAGCCCCCCAGGGGTGTACAGGTGGTACAGTCAACCCCCGTGGGGACATGGGGACACTCAGGGATACTGACAGGGGACAGGGACAGCCCTCCAAGGGTGTACAACTGGTACGGGTCACCCCCCTGGGGACATGGGGACAGTCAGGGACACTGCCAGGGGACAGGACATTACCCCACGTGTGTACAACTGGTATGGCTCACCCTCCCTGGGGACATCAGGGACACAGGGACAGGCTCAAGGACACCCCCATGGGATCAGGGACACCCCCAGAACGTCACTGTCACCCCATGAAGCCACCCCCACACAGCATCGCTGTCACTGTCACTGCTGTCACTGTCACCCTCATCCCACAGCGTTCCTGTCCTCCCACGGTGACACCGCCCCCTCAGTGCCACCATCACCCCTCATCCTGCTCCTGTACCCCCACATCCCTGCGTCCCTGCATGTGTCAGTGTCACCCCAAGGTCCCCGTGGTGTCCCCAGAGTCACCCCATGGTGTCCCCAGTGTCCCCAGTGTCCCCAGAGTGTCCCCAGAGTGTCCCCAGTGTCCCCGTGGCTCACTCGGTGGGCCGCAGCCGCAGGCTGTCGGCGTGCTCGGGGATGCCGTACACGTGCTCAAATCCAGGCAGGGAGAAATCCAACCCCACCGAGGTGGGTCCTGTGGGGAGCAAAGTGGGGGGGGTCACAGGGGTCCCCCCGTGTCCCCCCCCAGTGTCCCCAAGTGTCCCCAGCTGTCCCCACCGTAGGGTTTGCTGTCCGTGTGTGTCTTGAATGTCTCCTCCCACGTCCCCGGCTCCTCCTCGGGCTCTGCCGGGGGCTCCGCGGGCTGGGGGGGACACAAATCCACTCAGGAATGGGGGGACCCCTCCCCAAAAAAAGGTGGGGGGGTTTAATTTGGGGTGTCCCATCCCAGTGTCCCCCCCTGTCCTCGTCACCTTCTCGCTCTGGGTGCTGCCAGCGCCGTCCTCGGGCCCCTCCTGCGCCGCCCCCTCCTCGCCCGGGGGGTCCTTGGGGGGGTCCCTGTGGGAATTTGGGGTCCTGGGGTGCCCCAAAAGGGGGGGGGGGGGGGGGGGGGCCACAGGGAAAAGGAGCACCCCCAGGCCCCCGAGTCCTGGGGGGGGTTTGGGGGGCGCAGAGACGGCGGCGATTCCATGGATTTACCTACGGAAAAGGCTCTTGATCTTATCCCACACAGAACTAACTTTATCCGCCAGACTGGGGGTGGGGGGCACCAAAACAGAAACACAGAGAGTCAGCGCGGCCCCCCCGGCCCGCGGGGACCCCCCCTCAGCTCGGGGGGCGACCCCCGACCCCCTCTGTGCTTTGGGGGACAGCCCCCTCCCCCCCTGAGCGCTCCCGCTGCAACCAACGGCCTGGGGGGGGCTTAGGGGCTTTTCTGGGGGGGTTTAATGATTTTTTGGGGGGGGGTTTTGAGGGTTTTTAAGGGGATTTTTTGAAGGTTCTTCACTGGTTTTTTGGGGGGTACTTCGAGGATTTTTTGAGGTTTTTTTGAGAGTTCTTTAAGGGTTTTTTGGGGGGCGTTTTAAGGGTTTTTATGGAGTTTTTGAGGGTTTTTGGAGGGTCTGCTAAGGGATTTTGAGGATTTTTTAATGTGTTTTTGGGGGCATTTTGAGAATTTTTGAGGTTTTTCGTAGGGATTGAAGGTTTTTTTAAGGTTCTTGAGAGTTTTTT